GAGGAAAGTTTAAAAAGTCAATTACAGTAAGTTTATTCAATTAAGATTTAATGTTATCTGACTTGAACTAATCTCAACCTTTGATTATGACTTATGAGAGGAAATGTGGATATTCAAAAAGCTTTAGATGAACACTACCATCTTTTACATGAATATAACGCAATTAAAGATATTGGTCAAATGCTGTTCGGAAAGGTAATGATAATGAAATCATTAAATCATCCAAATTACATTTTTCAATACACTTATGCATATATTTTCTATACAAATATTATACATGAAGTGTGCCGAACTTGATGGTACAACAACAAAAGAAATATATGAGCGATTTGGATTAGAACTTGACGATTAAAAAATAGGGTTAAATGATGCATCGTTTTATCCACCGGTTTTATATTTTGCATTCAATGACATTTATTTTATTATTAAAAAATAATGATGTCATTTAGAACTCAAAAAAGATAAAAACATTACAAAAAAAAAGCGATTTACGTAATGTTAGCTTCTTGGTTTCTTGTTAAAATGTAATACGATTCGTTTATTGAATAAGTCGTACAAAATATACTCGAAAATTAAAAATCGTATTACTAAAAAAATATATATACACTATACGTATACTATTGTACTACAATCTTACCGTTGTTTAATAATAAATCAAAATTGAATAAGATCCGGGTATTAAGATTTAAAAAGATTTAGTTAATTATTTTCAAATACGTAACAGTTCTAATGATACGTAGACCCCAAGCATAATGCCCAAACTTGTATACTCATTTTTGGTTAAGTATCCATAGATAAAACCCATGCAGTAAAGGCAATGCACTACGATAACAATCTGTAATTAGCAAATCAAATTCGTTTAATAAGATATATAGTTTGTTACAAATAAGATGCGACGATTAGATATTTTCAATTATTTTTATAGTGTAAACATGACAATATATAGATCAAACGATCTTTTACCGAGAAGTTGTTCTACATCATATGGGACGTCTCGCATTAAACAGCAATTCCGGCAATTTTAAAAGTTATTTTTTTAATTTTTAAATAGGCATTAAGATTTGCTATTAGTCACAAGAATCACTATATACTATATATATATAATTATATAATAAAAGTCCATAGACGGTTCGCCAACCTACCAACCGTGATTTAATTTAAATAATAATTGAAATCCAAAGTCATGAATTGTAGTTATAAATGTATGTAAAAATGAACAACGATTTTTTCTCGATGTTTATAAAAGTTCTTATATGGATTTAGAAGTTGCCTAATACAGAAATATCAGAATATCAGAGCAGTTTTGCTTCGTGTCATCACAGGATCGAAAGTCTCGATCAAAGTCACATGTTCGGTGAATTATCTATCTATAGTGCGACAGTGTCAATTTTTATGATAAAAATCCTTAAAAAACTTAATAATTCAATGACTATAATTTTTTGCCAAACTAAATAAAAGTAACTTTCATCTTTATTATTTTTATAATTACTGATACATTAAAGAAATTTTAAAAGTTTATAAAATAACTCGAGTTCGAAGCTTTAAAAAAAATAAGTTTATATTGTTAGTGATAATGACGCATATTAGTCATCGAACAAATTGCTCGACGTCCAGGCCACACCACGAGGAGGTTTGCATCATGTGACCCAAAGGAGTTTA